TCCCTCTCTCTCTCTCCCTCCCTCTCTCTCTCCCTCCCCTCCCTCCAGCCCCCAAATCACCCACAATTTCCCACCCCATAAACTTACTGAGCCGATCAACAAGAGACTGCAGCTCTTTGTCCTTCAGCTTGAGACCGTCAGTCTTCATGACGAGTAACTTCCTCAACATTCCCAGTTCATAAGGGAGCTCTGTGAGGGCGCTGTTGCTGCAGACAGGAAGACGGTGCTTATAGAAAGGCCGTTCAGGATGAGTAATTATTTTTTATTTAGTAGAGGTTTTACGACGCTCGCAGCTGCATAAGGTCATATGAGCGCCAAGGGGTGGATGTCAACAGGGAAGTCTTTATATGGAATCGCGCTTACTCTGCTCCCCTCTCTAGCTTTAACAGCACAAAGTCTGTTATGACTTTCAAGGCACCCCGGAAATAGCGGGTCACAAGAGTGACAAACATACAAAAGAAGTAGAGGAAAATGACGATAGTAAGGATTAGGAAAGAAAAAGCAGCAGCTCCCTGTTGTAGTTCAGGCACAGTTATGAGCATGACATTGTTGGATCAGCCCATTTACAATTCTACAGTTCATGAACGAGAAATGTTCCCCTTTTGGAAAGTAAAAGCTTTATATATGGTCGCTTTTAAGGACTTGCGGGCTAACCCAGATTTCAGGGGTTTCCACAAATCTTGACCTACTCCAAAAGTGGGCATTGCCCTACCTTTTGGAAAAGTTTGGTTTCATTGGTGTGTATATTTGTTTGGTTATAGAGAAAACTCTCCTTGTCTTTTAAAGAAACTGAACAAGGGGCAAAAACTTTACCTTCAATTTTCTCAAAACAGCATTTTTGGGGATAGCCCCATAGTGCTTAAAAGGGACCGTATATCCCAACAAACGCCTGAAACAACTCACTGGCCGATATCAAGAACTGACAAACTGGACAGGCTGCAGACGCCCATTGGCAAGCTTCTCAGGTTATTCTGAGAAAGGTAGAGCTCCGACAATGAAGATGCCAGATGATGTCCTGGGAACTCCAAACCACTGGACTCTTTTCTGTTGAAGGACATTTTAGACATGTTTCAATTAAATAAAACCAAAAAGAACAACCCCCCCTCCAACCTCCCCCCACCCCAAAAGAACAACTCCC